ATGAAACAGAACCCTATATAATATACCAGGGTTCACTACCATTTTGTTAATAACAGATTCTTATACTAATCTCTGGACTTGTGCTAGGAATGGAATACAAACATCAAATGGCGGGATTCAAACCCTCGAACACATGATCTGAAATCCGTACTCTTAACCATTAGGTTAAGGGTACGGATTTCAGATTCAGATTCACGATTCAGCTTAATAGCTGTTGACGCCTTAATAGTTTTACTAAGAAAATTATTCATATTTTAATATAATCAATGCTTTTGTTATTTTAATGTTTCTTTTACCATTCCAAGTAAACTAGGCCTGTGCTAGGAACATGATCGAAAATCTGTACTCTTAAACATAAGATTTCTTGGTCATTAAGGAAAAGCCTATACGTAGATTGGATTCGAGAAACTACTACGGGAATAATTAATGTTTTTTCTCTAAGTGCCTATTTCCATGCCCAGCCTTAAAAGTAATTTAAAGTTTACAACTACTAGAATGTGTTTTAAAAATTGTAAAAACAATAAATTGTTTCTATTTTGAGTATCTTTTTTTTAATTAATAACATTGTTATGTGGATAAAATATAAAAAACTTCCGAGTCTCGTTTTCCCTACAAAAGAGTGCTAGATGTCATGAAAAACCTAGTCTTTTTAGTTAGTGTCTATTATGAAACCTTGGCAATTACACGGCGTCATTTTCAAAGAACACTTGCTGTTTATTCCATTTTATCTAAAGCTAAGCATTAAAAACATAGATCTATGTAAATATTTACATATATTTGAATATTGAACATACCTGAGCAGTAAGAGTCCCAGCCAGCCTCGTGATATGATTGGTTCATATTGAAAGGTGTAATTAATGTTACGAAATTAATTCCGTTTTGTAGCTTCTTGAATTTGCCTTTATCGAAAAATTCATATAAACTGTAAAAAGACATAGAAATATAAATAACAGGGTAAACCATTGGGTTGTATTGACAAGCCTTAGTGACCAATGAAAGAAGAGAGAAAAAACCCTAATGCTTGTGTAACAGGTATGCAAAAAAATTATTGTTATGTTTTGAAAATATTAATGTGTGTTAATTGATTGTAAGTGTATATCTACACTCATATTATAAAGAGGAAAGATCTGTATTTCTGGATATATGTATGTATTGAAATAACTCAAAAACTACTGGACCGATTTCAAAAAGTCCTTTACCATTTATAAGCTATTTTATCGCTGAGTAACATAAACTATATTGTTTACTAATTTTTTTTCGACGTGGACAAAGTCGCGGGTTACAGTTAGTCGTAAATAAAGTTACAATTGTAAAATAAACAAAACTTACTCTTGTAATATATTTGACTGCCATACTTCATCCAGCG